AAGATATTGTCCCTTAACAGGCTTAAATTTATGCTTTCATCTTCCAAATTCTATTGCATCTTTCTAAGTAGTTGTTTTCACAATAATGGCAAACAATTTCAGATCATCTTAAATTTCCCATTAAGGGAAAGTTATCAAAGAAGCCTTCTGTTTCTTATCTTTTCTTTAGGTTTAAATCTCTTTGTTAACTAAAGCATTTGGGATTTACACTCTCCTCAGTGTATGTATCTTACTTTATAGCAAAACATTCTCATCTAGTTTTCACTTTTGCAACAAACATTCAGTACCTTTGTACACTGGTTAATGAACATTAGTCACCATTAGTGACTAGCATTAGCCAGCATTAGTTACTAATATTCATAATTACATATTTTAGCGAGAGAATTTCCAAGGTAACTGTTGTTTGAACAAAACTATTTTAAAGTTCTCAGTTAACCCTGGTTTCTCAAATTTAAACTTCACTTTTTACAAGTGAAATTTCTACAGCTCAGTGCAAAGCAGACTACAGAACTGTAAAGGAAGGTTCATCACTCATAAATTCAGTATGTGTGAAAAGTGGAGGGAGTGGAAGGAAACTATGTGGAAATAAAAACAATTTTCAAATTATGAAAATAGATTTAGTTTACTAGAATAACCGAGATCAGCACTACCAATTTTGTGATCATGGCTGATACTGCCACTAGAGCGAGGTATCTGTGTTTACTATCTGTTTACTGATTTTACCTATAGAAATAGAGATTTTTCATTAGATTTCAGATTAATTTCCACAGCAACTGCAAGATTAGCGAGATGATGATGTACTGACATTTGAAATGCACGAAATAATTCTATTATTTTTTAGATTTATTTATTAAATAGGGAAATATTTCACAGACCTAAAGGAGCTCTTCCCCCTCAAATATCTCTGCATACTTAGCCCACCAACAAACCATTTAAAGGTGAACTTTCAAAGCTTTTTAATTTGAGGTGTGGGGGTTTTTTTAAACTCTGAAAATTAACTGCTTAGTATCTTAGTCTTGTGAAAAATCTTACTAGTCTCAGTGGGACTCTCTGCATGTTAATATCTTGATAAGTTGGTGCCTTTTCAAAAAGTGCTAAAACATGAGCTGGTCTGAGAATTCTCTTCCTGGCGTTTTGCATTTTACTGTGTCTCACTACCGCGTGGTTTAGGTGCGTGGTGCACAGCACGTGGTAAAAGGTAGGTGTTGAACACAGGATAAACCCCAGAGGCCTGTTCCTTTCCTCTGGTTGTTTTTAGTAGTGTAACTCATGCGACACTGACCTGAATCATTCAGCTTTCATCTGGTGGCAAACAAATGTAATGAGCCTTACAGTACCTGAAGGGAGCCTACAAGAATAATGGAGAGACTTTTTACAAGGGCATGTAGTGAGAGGACAAGGGGAAAAGGTTTTGACTGAAAAACAGTAGGTTTAGATTAGATATTGGGAAAAAATTCTTTACTGTGAGGGTGGTGAGGCACTGGAACAGGTTGCCCAGAGAAAGTGTGGATGCCCCAACGCTGGAAGTGTTCAAGGCCAGATTGGATGGGACTTTGAGCAACCTGGTCTAATGGAAGGTATCCGTGCCTATGGCAAGGGGTTGGAACTAAGTGATCTTTAAGGTCCCTTCCAACCTTGACCATTCCATGATTCTGTGATGACTATTTGTTGATCAAGTCTATTTTTGTGTGGTCTTCATTAGTTGCAGTGGTTTTAGGGCTGCCAGTTCACAGAGAAAACTGGAGCCACCAGGTTTATCAGACTCCTACTCTAGAGAGGTGCCTGCAATTTCTGGGGGATCAGAATAACAGAGAATGGAGTGTGGACCAGCCAGGATCAATCTATTGGAGAGCACTGCTAGAATACAGATACTGGAAATGCATGGATCAAGATCTACCTCCAAAGCAGATCTGCCAAGCAAAGATATAGGTGCTGGGGCAGGGAATTAAGTTTGATGGGATCAGTTCTTGCAGCATATGGTTTCTGAGGCAGTCCACTATAACCCTGCATTAGATTTGGCAATAGAATCTGAGATCAGATGTTGCGTTAAAAAATTCCACACAGGATGAAACAACTTCTTTTTCTTCTTCTTTTTCCTTCTTCTTTTTCTTCCCCTCTAGGAAATCTCTGGCAGTATTTGCTCAATAGCACATCTGCAAGTACCACAGATCAAGATATCACTAGGGTGCTGGAATTTGTGGGTGGCTTCAGCACATTCTTTCTGCATGACAGGATGGCTCTGGAAGATGATCAGGGCTCACGTGTCCTGTCTTTGGGATATGTTCTTTTTTATACTTTGAGCTGACCACAAGTTCATCGTATGGAATCCAGAAAAATTGCAAAAATCATAAATTGTGTCAGGTGCCAGTACTTTGTAATCTTAGAGTGTAATCTTTTACAGGAACAACTACTCGAAGATTAATGAAATTGATATTAAATATTGCAGTTGGACAGAAGAGATTCCATGTTAAATATTTTCAAGTCTCTCAATTATTTGAAAATTATTCAGTTCTGAGAGAGGTTTTGGTATTTTTTTCCCCCAGTAATTTTCAACTGCAAAATTAGGGTTAGGCAATCACTTTTGTCTGTATCTGTTTGAGTACTCCATGTTTCACAACAATGTCTGAACTGGTTTGCTGATTCAGCAGGACTTCATAGTTACTTTTGAGAAACTGCCTAAGGCTTTATGAAATTTGGAGCCAGATGATGGGAAAAGAGCATAAGATAAAGACTGCAGTGTAAGCCTACATGTAATTAGAAAAAAAAAATAAAATCAACAGCAGGAGAGATGCTACTGGAAAACTTGTGCTTATAGTTTTTGATCAACTTTAAATCCAAAAGAGATGAGACTTCATTAATTCCAGTGCTCATAGAAGTGTTACTTTTCAAAGCAAATGGGGTCTGCATTTAAGTTTTTGATTTACTCTAGAGAGTTCATGTTTAGTAGGAAACTTCCTTGAACTTTGGTCTGTATTACAGAGGAGATTTTCATGTAAATTGAATGAATTTTAAAATCAGAAAGTATAGGAGAAATAGAGCATTTAAAGTCTACTCTTTATTCAGCTTGCCTGCTATATGTTTACATTATGCTATTTCATGTTACATTGTTTACTTCACAGGATAATGGAATTTTTTTGGGAAAAACAAATATCTATCTATATGGAGTGATCTGATCTATAGATTAACTACTTTTTGATTCCTGATTATGATTTTAAAAGATAATGTAGGTAGAACTTGATGGTTATTGATCATAAGAGTCTTTTATACACCCCTTAGGACAAGGTTACATATAAACCCCCTAGGCTAGTTTATAAACATTGCAAAATATAGGGGCCACATAATCAACCCAAAGAAAGTATAGATATAACCTCAAAAATTTTTTGGTGTCAAAAGTTGCACACAAAATATTTTTATGTATGAAAATACTTATTAGACAAAATAACTTGGAGCAGTGGAATAATTGGCATGTATTCAAATTGTGGTTAATTGAATTCATCTGTGGCTTAGAGAGCCACATGGGGCAAAGATTCTGCACAGAAGAAGCAATTTTTATTAACAGGATATAATTTAGAATGAGAAAACATATACACTCTGCCTGAAACACAGTTAATAATTAATATGGAATAAATACATAGACATATACTGTTACCATATTTCTACCTGTCACTCTGTACGGTTTCGGCAACTCATTTGCATCCTAAGTAAGTATATTTATTCAGAGAGATGACACTGTAACACTACCTTCAAAAGTGGAAGACCTTTATGTCACAGCGTCGGAAATGAGTCATCCTTGTTTTTAAAATGGCAAAGTGAGATCAGAATGGTGATTTGATCTCATGCCTACTTGCATCTAAGAAGTTTGATTGTTTGTGAACTGACACTGTGCTGTTAAAAAGCTGATAACCATTTCCAAAATTGACTGGTGTTTCTGAGGCTGATCAGTTTTTCTGAACTGGATTAGAGAAAACTAAAACTTTTTAGGAAAGAATATTATTTCTATTTTGTATTCTAGTGATCTATATAATTTATTACTTGGTGTCTCAAATACACTACTAATATTGAAATGTATGTATTGTTTGCCTCTAAAAAGCAAGCTATTTGTAGGATAAATTAAAAAAGAACATTTATCAGGATCCGTGAAGGGAATGGGTGACTGAAAGCCAACAGCACTGCATGGTCAATGACTCGCTGCATCACTTAAAGCAAGTTGAGTTAAACCTAATCTTGAAAACAGTTAAAACAATTTTGGATAAGAAATTCTGTTAATCAAGATCTCAAAATATGCTTCTGTTGGTACAAAGCCTAACTTTTGTCTTAGCTGAGGAAGGGTATAAACAGATTTTTACATCTAGCTCTTTTGGGGACAGTGCTTTAACATGCCCACAACTCATGGCTTCAATGAAACTGAAAAGTATTCCTTAAATACTCACTTGACTCAAGGCTCAAAACTCCAAATCTCTTGTGAGGATTTCTCGCTATTTCAGCTGAACCCTGAACCAGAAAAGTGGCAATAACAGCACTACGGAATGTGTGCTGTGTGCTGGTTCTTTGCTTTCACTGTGAGCTCTGCCTGAGCTGAAATGGGACTACAGGACTGGTTCCTGAGGGTAGGCAGCTCCTGGCTGAACTAGGACTCTAGTTGGTAGGGTTTTTTCTGTTATTTGGGTTTTGTAAATTTTTATCCTCCTCTTTCTACCAGTTTGATCACTGAACAAACCTGCTGCACAGATCTCTCTAAGACAGATTTTGTGCACGAGTATAAAATTGTGATAAAAGGAGACCTCATTTTTCTTGTCTGGCTTTCAGTTAGCAGCCATATATAAGATAAAGACCCCTGAGAAATCACAGAGGTGGGAATAGGCTGTCCAACTGCAAGAATGCTTTTTAGTTTTATTGGGTTTGGCATATTTCTGTCATACTAATTTTATAAGCCACAGTGTTATTTAATATTATTGAATTGTAGGGCTAGACTTCATACTTCTTTCTCTTTTTAACAACAGGTGGTAACAATATTGGCAAACATGTCTGTGTTGGACCAGTGTGCTTCAGAAATCATTCAAGGAAATGGTATGTATTTTAGCTGAATTATTTTTTTTATTTATTTCAGGAGAATGTGGGTAGATGGGAAAGTTAAGTAAAGGAGAAAGGCTTCACTAATAAAACTTCATTTTGCATCTTATCTCTTGCACATTGCTGCAGGGTGCAAAATGAGTCCTGGAGATGGTTCTTTGCAAATGATATAAATAAAATATAATAACACTGTTTTAGAAAACTTTGCATTTATGACCACATTGCTGTTGTTCCGTGTGTGGCTTACTCATAGATGCAAAGCAAAGTAGAAGAAAGAAGAAAAAAGTGTTTCAACAGCCTTTATTCTGGTAATTACATTGTGTAAGGTGGCAATTATTGCATGTTGAAAGACATCACCTGACACTGAGCCATGCATACCTGCATTTTGTGTCACTTTTTTTCACAGGAATTAAGAGGCATTATAAATTTTGAAGTTTCATGTTTTTTATTACCATACAGCAGTTGCCAGGTTTCTTTTCCCCTTATATCTTTAAATATCATATTATGCAAAATTCATTATGTTTAAAAAACCCTGGGTGTTATATAGACCCATCAGAAGTCTTAGAAGTTACTAAATCTGTGAATAAGGATAAATGCCTTATTAATAAATCTACCAGCAAATTCATGGCCAAGCAATATAGTAAGACAACTTTTTTTTGGGGGGGGAGAGATATTGAATTACAGTGAAGCTTCCCATATATTGCTTTTTCTGTCCTAGGAATATCCCCTCCTTACTTTTAAAATTAACATTTATGTAGGAATGGTTTTAGCTTGGATCCATTTGCATCTCAGACATGTCTGATTGTAGGTGGGAGAAGGTATTTCAGAAATTATATCCATAGAAGCAGGTCCTCAAAGAGAACTGGCCAATTCCAATGTAATATTGGATTTAGATGTTTCTTGCATTTTAATAGAAAATTTGGGCTCTCTGAATACAAATATGACTGGCAAGGATCAGGTACTATGCAATCTATGTGTGCCCAGAGATAAGTGTGCATTTGATGTCCTTGCAGAGGTAGAGAGGTGTCACAGTTTCAGAACAAATGACAATGTGGAGGTTGAATGAATCTGGATACTGAAGCAATTTAATCACAGATACATGCAATTTTACAAATAATGTGTAAAATTTCTGTGTCCCATGTAGAAGACAATGCAGTGAAGGGGAGAAGCAAGGCAGGTTAGCATGATCATTTCTCACGTGACCTCCTTGTTTCATGGGGAGGATGGGGCAATCCCAGAGAGAGGTTGGTCAGGTCCATTTGGTGGTTCCTGCCATGCTCCTGGTCCAAGCTTGTTGTGTTCCTGGAACTTGGAGAGGCGCTTCTGGACTTCTTGATGCAGACATATGTGGCTTCCCCTACCCAGAGTATTTTCTAGAAACTCTTGGGAAGACCCTGACATTTCCCAGGACCCAGGTGTCTGTAATTATAGGTTTGAGTAGAGAAAACCATTTTGGTGATTTGTCTGTTTGTCTTGGGCTGATCTTCTGTTGTCAACACTTACAGTCCAGATATGCCCTGGAAGTTTTTGCACTCGTTTATGAGTAACAGATTGGTTTTGTAGTTTGGCTATCTATTTCCTTGAGCACATCAAAACCTCTTCTGTTATTTGGGACAGGTGTTTGATCGTATTTCATCTGCTTCTACTTCAGCAGAAACTTGATTGAAGTTCATGAAATTATACTAAGAGCTATGCCAACTAAGCCTAACTCATGCCAGATACTAGAGTGGGTGGACATGTACATGCAGATTGTCAAGGACAATGAGACAATGTTTGTGTATACATTCCATAACGGAAGTTCACAAGAAGAATTTTCCCACTGGCTTTTGAGAAGGGTTGGCATTCAGCTTGTGTGTAAAGGTATCTTGTGTCTGCCCAATGTTGTAATACTCAGATGCTGGTCAAAGGCCAGATTCACAAACCAAGAAGGGGTTTTGAATGCTAGAGAGTTTAGATACTTTCTTAAAGTATTCTCTGAGGTTTTAAGTATGTCAGTTGATTATTATCTAGATGTATGATTTTGATACTAATTCTCTGAATTATTTATGCAAATGTTGTAACAGTTAAAATCCTCTTATGCTACCTGAAGTAATCTGAATGCCTAATAGCGTATGGAGTCTAATAGCACATAATTGTCTTTACACTTAAAATAATCTAGAAAATAGAAATCAGTACAGTCTCAAGTGTTTTTGTGGAACTACAATAAGAATATAAACTCCTATAGGAAATAATAAGTTAATGAAGTCATTTCAACATGGAAAACATTATCTCTTTTAAAATAGAGTCAGTCACACATTAAGCTTCAAGAGACAGAATCTCATAGTTCCTTCGCTGAAGTATTCCCCATTCTAAAGTACACTCAAACAGTTTGAGAAGGAAACTTTTAAAAGCTTATTTAAAAATACATAAACTGAAAAAAAATTTAATTCAGAGTGAAACTTCATGTAGAGATCTGAAATACGTCACTACAGGTTTTAGATAGTGATTACCTTCAGGTTAGTTTGGAAGAGAAATAAAGAAATGTAATTAATTTGACTGAAATAAATTCATGAAAACTAAAATACCAGCTTGTAGGGGAGTTAAAAGGTTGGAGAAGGGAAGAGATAGTGCATTTTCTAGTTCCAGAAGTTCTGTAGCTTCCCAGTGAAGACAAACTTATGCACAGATCAGAAGTGCCTGAATGCTGATGTCCAAATTGCTGTCCACATTTGTGCATTCTTCATGACTTATTTGGGCAAGTCATTGGTCTGTATTTACCTTGCTTGCTTTTTCTCTTTATTTTTTTTGCACCAAGTTTTTTTTTTTTTTTTTGGAGAGAGGATAACAACGGCTCTTTACATTCTTTTAGGTATTCAACTTTTAATGGAAATGCTCTTTGAAAAATCATCTTCAGGAAGTTCAGCAGAAGTTGCTGCTTGTGAGCGAGTCCAACAGAAATCTGCAGTAACACTGGCACGACTCAGCCGGGATCCTGAAGTGGCAGATGCAGCTGTAAAACTCAGCTGTAAGGATGTGTCTCTAGTTTAATATCGGACTGAAAAAGAGGGAGGAACTGCCAGTCATGGAGAAACTCTTTTAAATTTGTAGCCTCACTTGGTATACTTTATGGAATATATTCCCTGTAGAGTCTGTCCAGAGAATGACTGAGGAGGTTGAGCTAAATGAACCTTTGGCTCATTTCCCAGAGGAACCTGAGGTGCAGTATCCACTCAACATGGAGCTGTGTCTTACTGTGCCAACTGGCACTGCTGCCTCCTCCATTCCTTTACGTAAACCCTTGTGTAGGATCTGTCAGTGGAATGAATCCAATGCGAGGGAGCAGGTTCTTTGAGTTGGAGTTTTTTAAGGGTATAGGGGAGGACTGATACAGAAGAAATGGAGGTCACAATTTCTGCTCTGAAAGAGCAATAGCAAATAAATGCAATTTATTTGTTTATGCTTTACAACTATTAATTATGACTGCTCTGATCTGCATAGCTCCATGAAAAATCCCTCAAGTATTTGCGTATCATCTTTACATTAGAGATCATGTCTACTAAGAAAGATAAATATTACACATCTCAAAATAAGAAGTTGTTTCTCTAAATTATTTCTCCTGACACTCTTTTGTGCACTCAGGTATTCCTCGCCTAATTAAACTTTGCAGATCACCAACCGAAAGAAATAACAGCGATTCTGTTCTAGTGGCATGTCTGGTATGTACATTTTAGTCTTTCTTTCAAGCTTATAATGCAAAACTAAGAAAAAAACCCATCCCTTTAGATTTCAAAATGCATAAGTATTGCAGGAATGTTTTAAATTCACGTCAGGGTCTCCTGCTTTTCCCCTTAAGCATAATCATGTACACTGTCAATTATTTATCTTCTGATTGAAGATTTAAGCACATAAGGAAAAATGGCTTCATCTTCACATTATTGAGCACCAAAAAATTTCACTGGAACACTTCAGAATTTAATTTCTGAATTCCATTCTCTGATGAAATTACCCTTGAGTTAAGGGATAGCAGCCCTTTATCTGCAAACACATATATGTATAGAAATATTTATGTAAAGTGTCCAAAAAGAGGAAAAGATATTACTTGCTTTCATTACGGTCCATTTTTTTTTTCTATTTGAGTCTCCAAGAAAATATAGTGCCCAACCAAGGACAGGGCAACAGAAAGTTAACACTTTCTCTACTCAGGAGAAAGATCCCAGCTGCTGGCCCTGCACTGCATGGACTGTGAGCTCCCAATGACTGTCAGAGTTGAGTGATTTCACCCAGCATTTTGTGAAAGTGCTCTGGGCACACAAGTGACCTAGGGTTAGGACATAGGTTTTGAGAAATGAAGACTGCAGAATATTGTTTGACAATGCTTTATAGTATTAATGTTATTTTAAGTGTGAAACTTGGTTACTGCAGCTTGTTCGTTTAAGCAGGACTCATTCAGGATGAAAAAAGTATGAATGTGAGCACAAGAAATGCAGAGGTTATCCTTCATACACGCTGAGAAGGCTTATTAGTCTTGTATGGCTAAAGCAGAGACCACAGAGAGATGGCAGCAAACCAGCTATGATTTTTTCTGTCTCACGGAAGTTGCTGCTGCACATTCCTTGAATTCATGTCTATTGTTTGAGACATTACCTGCCTGTCTCAGCAACTCTGCTTCTCTGGATATTTTAGTAACTGCCTGAAGACATTTTCTAATAAACATGTGGCAAAAATATTGTCCTGGAGACATAAGCTGCTTCAAGGTCTGATAGGTATTGTCCGTGAAATTTGAGGGATTGTACTGTTTGGTATTTTTAGCATGGTTGTTTATTTTTTATATATTTTGAAGCAGGCGATAAACTCTTGTGTTAGTGCTTCACTGACAAACAACACAGAGAGGGTAAGCTGATCCCACTTTATCACACTTTAGCTATCACACTTTATCAATAGAAGACAATTTTTTTCTTGAGGAAAGCCAGCCTGCTTTCCAGTTGCATCTGTCACATCAAGTTGCTAGAAGGTATGTAGTTGTTGTGTATTTTTCTCCAGTGAGAAAATCAAATAACTCCTTAGAAGGGAAGAGTTTATGAAGACAATAGTAACATCAATGCAATTTTTATTGTACGGCCTCATAATCAGAACAAATGTCAGTTTTATTTGTTCCTAAATGGTTTGAAACGTACTGCTTCTTTCTGCACTAGTACCTAGAAGATTTCTATGGCAGGCATTGCATAAAACTTCGGTAGCAGATATTTTCTGACTCAGATGACTTATAGTTCTCATAAATAAGACAAAAGGTGAGAGGAGAGTAGAGATACAAAGAGGCAGCATGAGATGTGCAGCAGATCAGAGATAGGTTTACAATCAAAGTCCTCTGATTCTCACCTCTGTGTTCTTTAACACCACACTGTCCCTGTTACTCAGGCCTAAAAGTAATGTGTCCCAAAGGAATTGTTGTTTATTAGCTGCATTTGGGGGAGATCCATTTGACAGATGAAGACGGTAACAAGAGATTAGCCAGGTAGGAGAATTCAACCTGCACAGTTCAGTTCTGAGTCGTGGCTATTATTTTGAGATAGTTACAATGGATTCCTGTAATGAAGACTTTGTCAAACCTACCTGCATTACAACTGTGCTGTTTTGTTTTTCCAGGCAGCCTTACGAAGACTAGCAGTTATGAGTCCTGAAGGACTTGAAGATTCAGATTTTCAGCAGCTAGTAAAGCCCAGACTTGTGGACTCTTTTCTGTTATGCACTAATATGGAAGAGAGCTTTGTATAAATGTGAGCCAAAAATGATAATCAACATGATAAGTATACAGTAAGATAATACATGTACAATTTTATTTTTTTTTTTAGTCCTATTGTTATTTATGACTTATTTATTCTAAACCCACGAACATGCATTTTGTAAGAGAAAAGGAACAGAATGAGCAGACTTGTTTCAGTGATTTGCAAAGACAATTTTTTATTTTATTTTCCTGCCAAGACACATCAACAGACCTTATCATTGCCATCTAACAAAATGTTGGTTTTTTTAATATAGTTAAATCAAGGTAATGAAGCCAAGAATTTCTTGCTATGATGTTAAATGCTTCTAATAATGTTTTATCTCTGATATTTTTCTATGGTTAGGACATTTTGCTGATTTTTTTTAATAAATGCTTTAGCCTCATGCATTTGCTGTTTTAGAAAAAAAGTAATCCTAAAAACTGCAAGTATGTACTTTGAAATGAAAGGGATGTTAGAGTCTAAGTCCAGTTCTTAACTGTTGTTGTTTTTAATAGAATTATGAAATATGTGACTGAGAGGAAAACTTCCAGAAAATTTCCAAATACTGGCTTTGAATGATGTTAGAGGACATTCTTACATTGTATAAAGATATGCTCCTCTAGAGAATACACACTTGCAGAAAACTATTTATATTTACTGAAATTTTTGAAAGAAATTGATAAAATTCTAGAAAAATCTCTGATGTATGTTTTATTTCATAATGTGAGATTATCCCCCTAAGATTTAAAATCGTTACATACTGATAATTTTCTCTCTTTTCCAAGCCTTAGAGGAACTGGAGGTGCTTATGTCTAGACATGTTTTTAATATTCATGCTGCTACTACATTTGTGAAAAGTTGTGCATGCATATGTTAAATAATGAGAACAGATAATTGTAACTTGAATTTCCATTTTTCTGTTTTTCTAACTAGTCCTCTATTTCTAAAATGAAATGGGACTTTGAGGATATTTTGGAATTGAGAAGATTTTACCAATGGATAACAACTTAAAGAATAGACTTGATTTTAAAATAGATTTTTTTCATGAACATTCTTCTAAGTTTTTGCTTTTTCTTTTCATTGAGAAACAAAATATATTTAAAATTATTCAAAGAGCAATATCTTCAGAGTGTTTTTCCCCTTAACTTCTCACAAAACACTCTGTAGATTATAAAAGTATATATAATTTTTTTCTTGATGGTTTGCAACTATTGCTTTGGATCATTTTGTGATCAGCAACTTTAGAGTAGTAGGACTTCTGCCAAAAAAGTAAGCACATTTCTTCCTTACTGTACTTAGTAGATATGTTAAGCAGCTTAATTAATTAATGTTTATTTAGTATTATGTGGCATTTAGATGAGAGGCACCAGGAAATTGAGAAGTTGTGACTGTCTTCCACATGTTCTGTGTCTGAAAAATCTGTCCTGGTTCGAGTAGTGATACATGGTGGCTACTTTTCTCTTCCCTTGAGTACGTGGGTTAAGAAGTCTCTGCCTTAATATTTCTTTCTTGTGAGCTCTTCATTTAATAAGCTCTATCTTGACTGAATTTTAAACCATTAGAAAACCTACAATGACCTCTGTCAAAAGCAACTACTCAAAGAGAAGTGTTGAATCAGATGTTTCACAGATGTAATTTTCTAGTAAATGCAGAGATGAATTCTGCTTTGTTTTCTTACTTTGAGACAGCTCCTTAAATTTCCAAGGTTGTTAAAGTGTATAGTACTGTACAGCTTTAAAGATATTATATTACCAATGGACTTTAACACTTTCCTCACTAAGCAGAAATAAACCATGGATGCTTTAAATGTTAAAATCAACGTTCTTGTTATAAAAAGTGAACTTATAAATTACACTAAAAAAACCACTTAAAATAAGGTCCTGTTGCACTGTTTGGATAGCCTGGCAATCCCTGACAGAATACAACACATCAAATTCTGTTGTGAATGAACCTCATTCTGTCAACTGGAACTAACTCTAAAGATATCAGCATGTAGATGGAGTAGGGTTTATCCCATAACAGGTGAAGTTGAAATCTCATTTAAAAAAATTTCCACAAATGCAAAGTGAACTGAAGGAGCTATTAAGAAAATACCACTGTGACTCATAATGCTTTAATGCCATTTCTAACAGGTCAATCAAATATTCAGTGAGCAGGTCAGTAGAAATTAATTTGCTCTCAAATACAGTAATGTGGATCCACATCAATTGAATTTATTACAGATACTCTCAATCTGTAACTATGTAGCCCTAATTCTGGCCCATATTGTCCCTTTACACATGTTCGTATTATGAATATGGCTGTTTATATTATAAAACCAAAATACATTTAGGTGGATCTCTCCTTTGTAGTAGAAAATACATCTTGAAAGAGCCATTTTGGACCTTTTAATCACCTAAGTGTCCTCAAAACCGTTTTATCTAGGTCTGATTTTTTCAACTAGAGTTGAGCACTTTATTTTTATATAGGGTAAAGTTTGCGAGAAAATAGACATACCTCTACCTTACCTCTTAATTAACTTCGAAATAATAATTCAATGAAAATATTGAATTATTTTCTCATTGCTTCTGAATAAATACTGGATTAAAAATGTTTGCTTAGAAAGTGACTCTTCAGTTTTTAAACAAAAAAAAAACCCAACCAACCAACCAGACAATGAACCGTTTAAGCCAGAATAAACATTTTTTATTTCAGTGTAGTATGAAACAAAATATTTCATATTAAAAATTTACCCTGAAGTAAGTATTTTGGTGGCTCAACCTTTGGACTCCCTGTGTATATACATATAGAATTAGGAAAGAGAGAGTATGTGTAATAAATTCCAAAATCAACTAATATATGTGGACTCATTGACCTACAGAGACTGCATGTAGGTTAGATATTAGCTTAATCATTCCAGCAACTGCATATTACGCTTGTTAGAAATGTTGTAGTTTCATTGAAATTCTTCTGAACATTTTCGATTTTGTATGAGATTAGAAACCTTTCACAAACGTGCAGTGAATTGCAGGATTCTTTGTAATTTTGATTTACATTTCAGTGATTTTGGATAACATCTTCAAATTTCAGCTTTTGTTTGAACTGTTTACAGATATTCAGGGCCCAGATGTTTCATTCATGGAATAAATTTTGTTTTTTCTCAGTTTATTGTGTGTTTGGTACATGAATCACTTGTGTGGGTCTGACCTGTTCTGTTTAAAATAATATGTGTATCTACAAGGGATTAGATAATGTCTTTGTAAATTGGATATCATATCTGTTTTTGGGATTGCCTGTTAGTATTCAAAAGACAGGACTTCTTCTGTAGCACTTCTTCTTAGTACAAAACAATTCTGGTATCTCATATGGCTTGTTCCACATGTTGTCCATCTCCTTTTAAACAACAGCAATGAGCAGTCAAAATAACACTGGCTTTTTTAATTTGAGGAATCTGCTTTGATTTTCAGTTTAAATATATATTAAAGTTAATGTATTTAAAGAAGTACTCTAGACACTGTAAATTATTCACTAGTGTTCTCATTTTTAAAGGGAGGGAGGGAAGATAGCATTTAAAGAAAGGTCTAGAGTGAATTTGTTAATCAAAGTTGGAAGTACATAGCTGGTGGAAAGGTAGGTGAATAGTTTCAGCCTTTGAGAGGCTAGAGAACCAGGAACAATCAAAACAGAAGATCATCTATCCTAGATACTTGTATGCCTTGCAAAGATCCTTATCTCTATTTTCTAGTCTGCTCTTGGGTCTGAGTTCCTCTTTTTCTAACTGTGACAAATTTCTTGAGAGTTCTATTTGTATAATTGATAGTTTTCTGAATAGAAGACAGTTACAGTCCAAGGTTTGGTCCTGCTAATTATTAAATTGATAAGGTTTTTGCTGAGAAACTAACAAAAATACCTTGTTAAATAAATCTAATAAAGATTACCTACAGCAAAAAGAACTGTTTATTGTTCCTACAATGGGGGGAAGAACCAACATATTCTCCAGAAAACCTGAGAGAAAATGTGTATAATAGCATAATTCCAGGTTTTGGTACTTTTATGAGCAGACCTGCTAACTAAGAGTGTATGAATTGATCAGTTCCCTGTCAGATAATCATTGAATAAAAGTAATAAAAGGAAAACCACTAGACTTAAAGACAAAACACTAGAAAATCAAAGATTTTCTCTTTAATTTTCAACAGCCAGTTAGTGAGTTTTTGTTTTAATAACTGAAGTGCGTCTAGAACACAGTGGAACCCATGGGAAACCAGTGGAAAAAAAAATGAAGGAGATAATACTGCTAATTTGCTTTGAAGGCTTAAATGGTGTGAAGAAGGAGGTGTGTCTAATGTCGTACCTCTCCTGTCACTGTGTGATCACCTGTGTTACAAATGTCTGATTGAAATCTGTACTGCTTATACCTTCGCTTTCTGGATTACCACTGTCTCTTAACTAGCTTCTGTTTATGCCTTCCACAGTCTTCAGAATGTGACCTAATAATGCACATGATTTCAAAGTGATTTACTTAATCTGATTTATTTTTTTTTTATACCACATATTGTAAAAATATATATTTTCTTTTTAATAGTTCTGAAAGGATATACCCAACAAGATATGTCTGTTATGTGTACTCATCAGGTAAGACAAAGATTATGATATCAAAAGAATAGTTATGGAATGGACCAAAATGATCTAGGAAAGTCTTATTTGATGTTGCTTCTTCTGACTTCTGCAAGTCAGTTTGCCTGCACTGAGGTAAAAAAGACCCAGAGCTACCTCCAAGGTTTCAAAGATCTTGCTAGAATTAGAACTGGAGAGTTCTAACAAATAAAATAAAATAAAGATAAATAAAATCTCAGAGTATGAAACTAAGGATAAACATCTGGTAAAATTTTGTGATCAACATGAATGTTTAAGGACTAGACTTTGTATGTTAAGCAATGTGCTTGTTCATAGATTCTTGCTTTCATTTCCAAAGCAAGATACACTGCCCTACGTCACAGCTCTTTCATTTTAAACTACTTACTTATTAAAAAGGCCATGCTTTCTTCAGAGCAGTGACTATTGCAAATCAGTGATTTAAAGTTTAGTCCACCAGTAGAAGAATTGTGCTTTATCTAGTGGGTAATTCTTAACTGTTTTGAAGTTCAATTCTGTAAGCATAGTCCAGGCCAGTAATTTAGGTGGTTTCTGCAGACCACAGAAAAAAGTAGGCAATACTTTCTCTTAGAGAATGACTGCCATAGACAGGCAGTATAAATTATACCACGTAGCTTCCTTCTTTTCTCCAATGGCTATGGAAAAATTGCTGATGATTTGTTGGAGGAAATATCTAGACACCTCAACATCCAACTATTAATTCAGATCGTGAATAGCAAGATGAATTCCAGGGTCAGTCTGGAGACAAAAGGAGGACACTCCTTCAGCTGAGGTTTCACATGCTGTTTACATATCAAGTACAATTTCCATCAAACAAGAAATTTTTGCAAGATTGGACTATCTGTTTCAAACGACAGAGACACTATTTTCTTATTTGGTGTGGACTAGATGATGACTTCTGTTTGCCAGTGTTTTAAAGCAAGAAATAGCTGAACCAGCTCATCAACCTCAGAATATTATACCAACTATACATTTATTATTAGAGAAAAATCTCTTGCATTTGAAGACAGGGAGAAAGAAAACAGGTCACAGGACACTAACTTGGAACTCCAAAGTGAGCTATCCTGGACAATATGTGAAATACCATTGAGCTGATCAATAATATTGCACTTGCCAGGAAAGCTACTGCACACCAGCAAACAAAAAAAAGTCCCCTCAAACTCAGCATGCCTTCTTTCCCAAAAAGTAATAAACTGAGCTCTAAGAAGAAGAAAGGACCTGCCATTACAAGACATATCCTGGGACTTAGCAACACCACAGGTAACACAGTGATAAATGAGGACTATTTCCAGGTGGTTCAAGCCATCCTATCAAACCCATGCTGGCATGTTGTAAGTATAAATGGAAGTTGCTTACCATCAAGACCACTGCTAAATCCTTGC